GAGAGAGAAACATCGATCAGCTGCCTCCTGCACATCCCCCACCGGGGATGTGCCCGCAACCCAGGTACATGCCCTTGACCGGAATCGAACCTGGGAACTTTCAGTCCGCAGGCCGACGCTCTATCCACTGAGCCAAACCGGTTTCGGCACCATGTTTCTCTTTTATTAGTGTAGATTAAGAGGTAGGAACACTTGAATACTTACCAGGAACAGTCAGGTAAAAGAAAAGTATGTGAAGACAAATATTTACCTCTAATCTGTGAGAGAGTAATACTTCTGTGCACGACTTATTAAAAACCTTCTAGACCTAAATTTACTTTTTGAATTAACATGTGAAATTATTTTAGCCCTAGACACTCTGGGGATTGAGACTATAAAAATAGGAACTGTCCTTAAAGGGTTATATAGAAAATGAAATATAAATTGAAGATTTCTACAGTCACTAAAATAAAGTTATAAACTTTTTTTTAAAGAACAAAGTAGTTCCTGGGCTTTTATGATAAAAATAAACCTAAAATTTACATGTTGGGAGAAATAGTGAAGAAAAATATACTAAATGATTTCTTTGAATGGGTTGTAGATATTTATTATATTCTTTTAATACTTTCAACATTCTTATTTTTCTGCATTTTACAAGTTTGCATTGGTAGTATATTCATGATCATTCATTTAAAACTGTTTTTAACTCCCCTTGTGATTTCTTCTTGACCCATAGATATTTAAAGGATAATTGTTAATTTCTAAGCAGTTGATAGTTTCCTGGTTATCTTATTATTAACATAGCTTGACAGTACTGTTATCAGAGAACCTATTATATTATTTTACTTTTTGATATTTTTTGAGATTTGCCTTACAGCTCAGCATATGATCAAATTTGGTGAATGTTCTGGATGCACCTGAAAATAATGTGGATTCTGCAGTTATTGGGTGCAATGTAGGTCAATTTGGTTAATATTTTATATCCTCACTTATTTTTAAAAATATTTATTGAGAGAGTTATGATTAAGCCTCACACTATGATTGTGGAACTGTCTGTTTCTCCTCGTTCCTGACACTTTGCTTTATGCATATGGAAGCTATCTTATTATATTCATTGAAGTTTGGAATTGTTATCTCTTCCTGTTGAAATGACTATTTTACAATAATGAAATGTCCCTCTTTATTTCCAGTACTGCCTTTTGTTTGAAATTTGATTTTGTCTGATAGTAGGATGACTATCCCAGCTTTGTTTTGATTAGTGTTTGCAAGATATGATTTGTTCCATTCTTTTACTTGAAACATTTCTATAGGTTATACTATTAATAGCATATAGTTGAGTTTCCTTTTTTATTCATTCAGACAAGTCTTTTAAGGGTAATGTTGGTTCATCTATACTAATTCAATGGTATATTTGGGTTTAAATATAACATATTACTATGTGCTTTCTTCTTGTCCTACCTGTTCTATGCTCCCCCCTCCCCTTTCATGCTTTATTTTGGATTGATCAAAATATTTTTTATTATTTTCTATCTCCCCCTATAGACTTGGAAATTATATGCTATTATAATTCTTTCAGTGGTTACCTTAAAGATTTAAACATCAATCAGTTTGATATTAATTGGGGTACTTTTACCCTCTTCTTGGACAATTAAAGAACTTTAAATTCTTTTCACCTATATGTATTTTAAACTCCAGAAGACATTAATATTGTTGTTTTATGTGGCCACTATTATTTAGATTTACCCGATATTGACCTTTTCATTGATTTTCATTCTTTTTGCCATCCCTCATTTTCTAGATGGGATAACCTTTCTTTTTGTCTGGAAAACAGCCTTTATAATTTCCTTTAGTTGGTATTTTCTTGTGGCAAATTTCCTTTAATTTTGTTTACCTGAAAATGCCTTTATTTTTCCTTTACTTCTTGCAGAATATTTTTGCTGGGAGTAGAATTCTAGATTGGCAGTTTATTTCTTTCAAATATTCTTCATTGTCTTCTGGCTTCTTGAATTATTTCTGGTGAAAAGTCAACTGTCAGCTTAATTGCTGCCTCTTTAAAGGCAAGCTATATCTTTTTCTCTTTGTTTTTAGTTTTCTAGATTTATATTGATGTGCCTAGGAGTGTTTTTCTTTTTACCTATCCTTGTTTGTCTTCTATTTATTTATGTTTGTAGGGTTTCTTGAATCTGTGGCTTGATGTCTTTCACAGTTTTGAAAGCAATTATCCATTCTCTCTTCAAATTTTCAATTTAAAAAATTTTCTCTCTTCTTTCTATACATTTGGTAGACCATATGGATATCATTTATGTCTCTTATATTCTCTTTCTATCCTTTTGTCTCTGTGCTTTAGTTTATGCTGGGTATTTTATTTTGACATATCTTACAATCATGAATTCAGTCTTCACTAGTATACTAGTATAATCTATTCTTAGCCATATTCAGTTCTTAATTTTAGTTTTTATATATTTCAGTTCTTAAACTTCCTTCCATTTGCTAGCTTAATTTTTTAAAATTTAGAAATAATTTTATGCTTATTGAAAGGTTGCAACAATAGTATAAAGAACTCCACAACAGATTCACAAATTACTTACTTTTCACTGCATTTGCTTTATCATTCTCTCTATATACATACACACACACTCTGTTTTCCCCTCTCCCTCACTCCACCTTCTTGCTCACTCACTTTAAAAAAAATTACTTGAGCCTGGCTGATGTGGCTCCATGGTTGAGCGTTAACCTATGAACCAAGAGGTCATGATTCCCAGTCAGGGCACGTCAGGTTTCAGGCTCGATCCCCAGCAGAGGGAGTGCAGGAGGCAGCTGATCAATGATTTTCTCTCATCATTGATGTTTCTATCCTTCCTCTGAAATCAACAACAAGAAAAATGAAAAACTTTGTGCTTTAGCAGTTACAAATTAATGTGTTCTAAACTTTTGACTAACTACTGCTTTAGTAGATATCATATTATTAACTCCACACATGTCAAAGCTCTGTAGTATTAAAGCTAATTCCTTGGATTTACTAGGTAGTTAATGATATCAATAAGGATTTGGGAGTGTCTTATTCTAGTATTTATTTTTCTCTTTGGTTTTTCTTGTCTAATGTTTATAATTTAGAGTATAAATTATGTAAATAGTGATTTATATTTTGTATGGAAAGAACCCTATTTGTAGAGAAGCAGTATGTTTTTTCAAACATACTCCAAGCAAGAATTTCAAACACAAATAAATTGTATCTTAAAAAGAAAAGTGTATTTATGGAATGATATCATTTGTATTTTTATCATTACAGTTTTTTCTGTAGTCATTAATGAGTAATTGGATGACTGTTTTGTTCTTACATTAATTTTGAATCACGGCTTATTGTTAAGATTAATAAAGCCAGATTTCTCATAGGTATAATCATT